TAGTATCTATGAATTCGTATTCGGATGATCTAATTGAGAGTGTATCTACTTGTTTTCTTTTCATTTAAAAAAGGATCCTCTAACACTAGCGTTCTCTATTCTTTTTCTATTCTATCTACTTGTTTTATTATTATTTATAATAAAACAAACAAACAAACAAACAAACAAAAACCTTGTCTCCATGTATTGCGTTTGACTAACCAAGACTTGTCACAGTACTTACATATCATTTCTCTTTTATTGATTTTGATTGCTTCTATTGTCCTCAATTGTAAGTCGCTTTGGATAAAACATTTGCTAAATGCAAATGTAAATTTTTACCATGCTTTTTAATATCTCTAATTAGTACCATATTTATATTTTATTTTATTTCAGATTTATTCTAATTAACAAAAAATATTTTAATAGTTTTGGTTTTAGTTAACCATAACAACACTGTTGGCAAACCAATTATTGTAAACAAATCTAAACAAATTTGTGAATACATTTCAGAATATTCTTTTTTTAAGTGAATTGCCATGGATAATCAAATTTTGCAGAAACTTGTTAAGTTGTCAGCTTAAAAGCAAAAGGACAAACCAAATTCTGAAGTTCATGTTTATCTTTGAATTCAACTTTTCACTAATTTTTATGCTCAAAATTTAAAAAAAATTAATAAATTTGAATACAAAGCAAAATGTGAGGATTTGCATTAGTGGTCAGACTTTGGGATCCCTCTGTATATTTATCAACTCCGTATCCATATACAGGTGCATCTCAATAAATTAAAATGTCGTGGAAAAGTACATTTATTTCAGTAATTCAACTCAAATTGTGAAACTAGTGTATTCGACATCATACCCTGACACAGATTTAATATGCAAGAATTCCTTCCTCCTTGTTTCCTCAAAGATCTTTTTTTCATCTCATGCCAGAAAATGGGAGGAGGGTATAAAGAGAGAGAGAGGGAAAGAGAGCTCGAGAGGCAATTGTGAATTGCTAGTGTGAAAGGACAGCCCACATACATGGGTAACGGGAGAATTCACAACCCGGCAACTTGCACTGACTAATTTAGACATCCATCCCTTGGTTGCTTAGCAACACTCGGGGGCTTGATTCCCATATAGCTGTTTGGGTGAGCCAACAAGGGTTAAAATCCCTAATCAATAGCACCTTCTCATTGTCGCGAGTTAATTCGAGCATCTTGATTGCATGTTAGGTGGGCTGTCATCAGCGATTTTTAAAACCCCTTCTGATGACATCGTGAGCCACTGATGGGCCGAACTTGAAGAATTTTGGGGCAACTGTGTTTATCTCAGTACTTTGTGTCATAATGGTGGTGTTTTGAATCAAATTATCCCAGCATGGTCTTGTCACCCAGCTGATTCAACAACACACTCCAATCAGTCTTCTGCCTTGTCTACCTAGAGGAATCCAAGCAGGGGGAGGCTTGAACTGATAGTACAGTGAATGATTTGGTAGCGGGGAGAGAGTGATGTAGAGGAAGAGAGATAGAGAGAGAAAAGGGGGCGGGGCAAAACGGAAAGAAACTGAGACTGAGCGAGAGAGTTAGTGTGTACGTAAGTGTGTCAGCGAGAGAGAGAGAGAGCAAGCAAAGAAACATGCGAGGCTTGTGCACTCTGCCGTTTCCTCTCGCAGTCACAGACGGCATCATGTGGAGCGGGCACTGTCACCACAGTGCTTGCCTTCTCCATTGTGCTTCACTGACCGAGGAACCCCAGTCCAGGAGAACCTGACCTTCTGTTTCCAAGTTCCTCAAGGCGAAACTGACATTCCAAGGGAGTTATTAAGCAATAAACTCAGAGGAGATATGAAGTCTTTACTGAATGCCTTCAAGAAAGAAGGTAAGAGGTGATCTTTTGGGTTTTTGAGGGTCTAGAGCAGGGGTCTCCTGACCTTTGGTGACTTCTGTTCCATGGGATAAGTGCTCAGAACTCCAGCCTTAGAGCTACACGGTGTTCTGACTTTTCTTAGGTGTGGAAAAGTCTTTGAGTTCTATCATGTATTATGACAGATTATAACAAAAGTTGAATCTGAAGAGCGAAGTAGTCTGAGGTGGAGAGAACATCACTTTGAAAGAGTCATTTCCGTCTGCAAGGAATTCAATCAGCTTCAGCCTTCCTCAACATATGTCTTCTACCTTTCCTACAGTTTCGTTTATTGGAATTGGTGCATTTTATATTTAGAATGTTGCTATTGGAATGTTTTGATTTCACTTGTTTGAAGGAAATGACCAACGTGTTCCGGCAGCCAGTGTGCTTGTGATGTCATCGTCTTCAGTTGGTGCCAGAAAAACCCTGTTTGTTGTGCTTTATGGGGCTGCCCATATGAACCATGTAGTCCCCCCCCCCCCCCCC